AAATGGACAGACAGATAGATTGGCACACAGACAAATTAAGAAGGACCGACAGACAAATGGACAGACAAATTGACGGACAGACAGACAAATGGACAAACAAATGGACAGACAGACAAATGGACAGACAGTTAAATGGACAAACAAATGGACAGGAGACAAATGGACAGACAGACAAATGGACACACAGACAGACAAATGGACACAAATTAAGAAAGACAGACACACAATGTCACTATTAAATATATAAACTTACTCTGTTCTCGTTCACACCATTGACAACATCCTCCATGTTAAACTCTTTCTCCGTTACCTTAAATTCACCCTGTGTTGATTTCCAAAAAAATGAATTTCAAATTCCGGTACTTCTCAAAGAGTTGTTAAATTAGAAGCATAAAAACTGAAGAAATAGTCAATATCTCTTACCCATTTTTTACCAAGAGCCAGTAGTGAACTTCTCGTTACTCCTGGTAGAATGAGTCCATTTAAAGGTGGCGTAATCAATTCTTTTTCTGTCATGTGGAAAATTTTTTTTTTTAATTTGAAAAATTTAAAAGAGATTTTTAGCAAAACCCTAATACTTAAATATACAAGGTGGCTGCATGCCGAGCGGTCTAGGCCTGCCTGCGCAAGGGTGGATTCAGGTCAATGAAATGCTAGTTGGCAAAAGAGAATCAATCTTCAACGATAATGGTAGTCAGGGGCAGTAGGGGTGTCCTAAATGAAGAAATGTATATCTAACAAATTAACATCAGTTTTTTGTGTCTGTCCTCTTATTGACGATAAATTGTGTCATTAAATTGCCAAAGTAGTGTGGATCCACGAGGCGCAGCCGAGTAGTCAGCATCCTATTTGACACAATAAATGTGATGAAGAAATTTACCTTCAATAAGAGGACAGACACATAAAAAAAACTGTTGGAATTTTTTTTTTTTTCACGACAGCACCAACGGCATCGCTAGTTTTATTAAAACAGGGGTGCTGAACACATTTTGCTTGCTTTTTTTTCTATACGCCATGTGTAGGACCTGAAACAACCATGCTCGCCTGCCACAAATAATCATCTCCCTAACTCTTTGGTCTGTGATGTCTCCACCACCTCAATTAATGTTACAACCCCCCCCCCCCTTGAAAAAATCCTGGATCCGCCCATGTCAATTTGATACATTACAACCACAGTATTAATATACATTTCATATATATTCTCATACAGTAATATCATTATGACACTGGATCCACCCCTAGTAGTAAATCATTTTACCTCCTTTTTTATTTATCCACAACATGAACATGTTCATTGTTCCCACTTCTGTCACCTGGGGATGAAAATAATGAATAAAGAAGGTTCATCATACAATGTATTTAGAAACTTCCTTATTGAGAAACTAGTTTGGGAATCAAGGGTGGTGTATTGGTAGTGCACTCACCTCTCACCTCTGGGGTCTAGGGTTTGATTCCTGGACTCAACATCACATACATTAGTGAACCAAGGGTGGTGTAGGGGTAGTGCACTCACCTCTCACCTCTGTGGTTTCAGGTTTGATTCCTGGACTTGGCATCTCATGTGAGTAGAGTTAGTTGGGTCTTTACTATGATTTGAAAGTTTTTCTCTGGGTCCTTAGGTTTTCCTCCCTGAAAAATCTATGAGTTAGCCATGCCCTGACTTAGATCAGCCAAGAGGTTGTTTCAGGGTTCGATCTGTGAGTTAGCCATGCTCTGACTTAGATCAGCCCAGAGGTTGTTTCAGGGTTTGATCTGTGAGTTAGCCATGCCTTGATTTAGATCAGCCCAGAAGCTCATTCAGGGTATGGCTTTTTTTTTGAAATATAGTAACATTGTGATGAATCAATCAATGGTGTTTACCTGATGATCATCGCCAAACAGCCACARAACTTGTTGTAAACCTTGTCGTTCAGCATTCAACTGTGCCAGAATGGTTGGTCCATAATTTCTAGGAGAAGAAAGATAATAATCATTCTGATGCCTCTTTGATGAGTAAATCTTCAAAATATTTTCCAAACAGTTGTTCACACAATCCTGGTTTACTAGGGAAGCACAGGTGGCATAGCGGTGAGTACACTCATTCCTTTCCCCACCCCTTGGAAATTCCGATTGCTCTCCATGGGGGAGGTATGGATATTTTATGGTACTACATAATATACCCTCCCAGCCCCTTGGAAATTTCAACCCCCCTCGATGGCCTCGAAGGTATGGATATTTTCTGGGATTACGAAATATACCCTCCTCAAATCCTACTCTGACACCAGGTGTGGATATTTTTGTTATCACATGACATACCCTCCTTAGACTTTCCCTCCCCCCCTGGGGGAGTCATAGACCTTAGAAGAATTGCCCATCTTACTTACCCTCCCATTTTACAGTCACCAACACCCCCAGGCCACGCCCTGACATACTGGGGATCTGCTAACAGTGCAACAGGGTTAAATGTGCCTGTCTTGAAGTATGGACCGACTGGGGACAGGATGACGTACAGTAAGGCACTGTTAGCCTTATTCACTCCAAGGGTCGGCTGAAAAATAAGATTTTGATTCATTTACAATTTAGTAAACGATAAATCTCTCTCACACTCTTGTTGGTGTTAAGGTTGAACGACTAAGTGTAACCTAAGGGAGAACAAGCACCCTAAATGTGTAATAATATTAATTTAACTGTGCCCTCAGTCTTGAAAATGGATCTTGGCCTAACAGTCTCAGTCCATATATTCAAGACCTCAGGTGCAGCCTTTCTTTATCTGGTCTGATGTTAGGGATGGTAACTAACATATGTACCCAAATTAAGGGGGGGGGGGGGTCTTGCCCGTTTAGCATAGGGATGTGCAGCTGAGCCCACTGAACCCTGACCCTGTTCCAGAGTAAAATCGCTGAAATTCATACCCTGTTCCAGAGAAAGATCACTAAAATCATACCCTTTTCCGGTATTGCAAAAATAGATAGCCTGTTCCAGAGATGAGAGAGCGTGATATCATATACCCTGACCCAGAGCGAGCGTGATTTTATATACCCTCTTCCATGGTAGAATCGCTGAAAACCATACCCTGTTTGGCGGCACATACCCGTATAGCGAATATAGGGGAGTACCCCCCTTGGGCAAATTACCTGTGTGCCAATCAGGGTGGGTCTGATGTACAGTGAGCATGTATCAGAGTACGGAACCCACTCCTGGTCCAGTTTGACCAGCTGACGAATACACTTCACCATCTCTTCGCTGTCAAATTTCTATGTTGATGACAAGAATAATAAATAAATATAAATGATCATATTGAATGTAAGAGTACAGATCAAATGCATAGACTTGGTAAAAACATGATCTATCGGCCATAACTAGCGATATCATTCAGAGTCATGTTTTTACCAAACTTAAAATGATTAGTATAGGAAATCGCACGATCTCGAGTACAACTCCAAAATTATAGTTATGAGTGATGTTTTGAAAGTTTTCAAAATTGGACGAATCTTTAGGCGAGTTCAATTTGAGAACTTTGTATATGGGGATATKTTCATATTAAATCACCTATATCTCAGCCGTTTTCCACTCTATCGGTCTGAAATTTCACACTATATTATATTTTTACATGCAGTTTCTGATAATGTTACTAACATCATAAATGCCTTTAAAAACAATTTTGTGACATTAATCATCACTTTGGTATTCTATTATGAGTCCTGCTTTATGCTACTTACAGGAAGACATGCCCTTGATGCAGAGTGATTCATTCTTTTCATGTTTTCCAGTGGTCTGAACATCCTGATCTTGTTATCCACCCCTCTGTAGGCCTTCATCCCTTCAAAACACTACAGTACAGGAGTACAATATTAGCAGCAGTTAGGTGGACTCGCGAATTGCCGGCATTGCCAAAAATCACAAGTCGAAAAACACCAGGGGGGGGGGTGGGTTTTTGGAGGTCGGTAACCCGCGGAACAGGGGGTCTTGCGCGATCTGCCGGCAGCGCGAAAGGTTCCTAACTGCTGCTCTGTTGGGGTCGCAAATGGAGGGAAAGATATTCTTTAGATATACGATGCATGAATGTAAGGAGTTTGTTAATGACTTCTGTGTGATTTGTTTAAGGTTTAAAGTTGTCATACCCAAGCCAGAATCCTTTTGGTGTTGTGGTAAAAAAATGCAGATAGAGGAGGATACGTCAGCACAGTGTTACGAGTGTGGTAAGAATATTCGTAATGCGGTGCCAAATGTTACCAGAGAACAGTATTACGCCAATGGAGGTCGCACGAAAACGCCATATAAGAGGTTGAAATACTTCAGAGACTGGATGAGTCATATCCAGGGGTTACATCCGGTGTATTTAGACACGCGGGAGATCATGGATAATTTGGAAGAGACCTCGCCGCAAAGTCTACGGAAAACGTTGAAAAAATTAAAATTAGGGAAATATTATAAAGCCATTCCTTATATTTTGTCTGAAATTACCGGTAGGCGTATTCCACAGGTTTCGGATATGCAAAGGGCCGAGTGGATGTTCTGTCGGCTGGATAAGTATATTCCTTATTACCCCGACGTAATTTACGAAATATTCCAGCAAATAGACCCCAAGCATCCGTTGTTAGAATGGATTCCGAGAAGATGAAATGTCTATTGAGCGAGTTTTCTTTGGAGCTCCTCTTTTGCCTSCTGATAGATCTGTTTGCGAGATTCCTCGGAAAGATCTTTCACGATGGTTTTTTTATTACCCGACTTTAACTCGCCGTATTTTCTTTCCTCGGCGAGGATCAAAGAGAACTCTGTGTCGTCTATGCGGCGGTCCCGCAGAGCTTGGGAGACTAAGTCGGTGATGGTGTTAGCCTTTGCTCTTGCCAGGGTTATATGAGTGTCGTGCTTGGATATCTTACCGGACAATTGCTTTATGATGCCTGTCGTAACAGCGGAAACAATGCCGCAGACAGCTCCAACGCTGGCTAAAGGAACGCCAACGACTACTCCGGGCCCGGTCAAAGAAGTAGCGACGCCGGTGCCTGTAAGAGCCACGGACATGGAGCCGGAAGTTATCGCGATTTTATGCAAGATGCTTCGGGCTCTGGCGTACTTTTTTCGGACCTCTTCGTAGTGTTTCGCTTGCCCTTCTAAATAAGCCAGTATTAAGTTCGCCTTGTTTAAACGAAAGTTTTCAGCATCCTTAGGAATTTCAGGATAAAGTGGGGGTGCTGAAGGTATAACATCCATTATATACTAATGTACGACGCTTTTGGAAACGATATGGAGGATCGGCCACATTATGTGCCGCCACCACCCAAACGACCTGCGAAACCTCCAGCGCCAAAGCCTAATTTCCCTAAGTATCTGCTACCGGCGACGGGAGATTATCCATTTTACGATAATAAAGATGCGAAGAACTTTGCTGGGTTGGTTACCACACTGAAAATACCCGTGGGTAAAGCGTCCTTTAAGATAAAGATTAGAGATGTCTTCAGAGAAACCCGCATTAAGCATACGTCAGGTAAAGAAGCCCGTGAATGGCTGGCAGGACCTAACATGCGGTATTGGCCGCAGCAATTGAACTTTGCTGTTTGGGCTGCGACAAAAGGATGCGGCGTGGCCATGGATATGCTGCATATTCCATTTTTGAGATTTCACGTTGCTTTTACCATCCGCAGAATATTGTTTGAACTAGGAGCACCTCTACCAAGTGATAAAATCTTTAACGCAAAGGATAATAAATACGATAAAGTCGCGTGGGAGCGTTTAAGGAATGAGTTTGGGCTTTCAAACCCCGACTTTCGTAATAAAGAAGGTGCCGCGCACGGTCTAGGAGAGACGTACACGTATACAGCATACGTAGGTGCCAGCATAGAAAGACCCGGCATGGGGTATCCGAGCCAATGGGAATTCTCAGACTTTGGCGGAAAAGCATCAAAGGGTAATTTGATTTACTTCATTGAGAGTAAAGAAACCCATCCGTGGGCACCATTTGTTGCCGCGAAAGGTATTGGTTTAAAGAATCTCGCCAGGATTAACCGAAGTATCGAAGCCTTTGTCTACTGTATTCTAGGCGCGCAAGTTAACACCCGTAGTTCTATCGTAGGTGCGTCTGGAGCGTCAAAAGAAACACAGCAAGAATTCCTCAATCTCTTAAAATACGCCATTATTGAGAATAACATCTCGAAGTCGGTGCAGCGATATCAAAATGCTATACAGTTGTCGAGAATGCGGCTGGACTACGCGTTGTCGCCCGGATGTTGGTTGATGCCAAGCAATTTAGTGATAAACGCCAATGCCGTGGTGGGATACAACAACAAGCTTCAACGAGCCACGAAAGACATGAAGTTTGGTGTGAACGACGTTAATTCTGACACACTTTTGAATATCCCCCACTTCGTAGAAAAGCCTAAAAATACGCATGAGACGAAGCCAACACTGCCCGTAGTGAAGGAGCCGATGAAGGTACGCGTGCAAAGGAAAAAAAGATACGTGCCCGAAGAAGAATATGACCACGATTTCTTAAAAGCTGGCTTGGTCGTTACGGCAGTTGGTTTGGGTTATTATATATGGATGTAAACAACCCACATGTAGATAAGCGAGGCCCTAAAGGGCCGCAGGGAGACCCCGGACCGCAGGGGCCACGCGGACCAGCCGGCCCCATGGTGAAAAAATATACCATAGATTTGGCGTCATCAGTCCAAGCCAGTAAGTATGTCCCGAATCAATGGTGGTTTTATACGGATGTGACTACGAGCTCCGGGGCTAGGGAGAATGCCGTTAATTTCGATACTTTCGTACTGGATTTCGTATTAGACGACGACCCAAATAAATGGACTTTTACATACTTAGTGAACATGGAAGACAGAGTGCAGTATGCCTTTTGTCCATATCCAAACTACGTCATGAGGGTGCTTTCGTTTATGGGTACCGTGAGCTATCTTAAGATAAAGGGGAACATCAAACTAACTAGATTCGAAATGTTTAAGTCATTCATATAATGGCGATGAACAACCCTTACGTAGCTGGAGTAGATTGCGTCTATACGACTTACGCAGGCGAGAAAACATACACTCAAGCATCTTGGGTTGATGTCACGGGCATGTCCGTGGATTTGAATTATTCAGGGAAGAAGTTAATCCTTTGTAGTATTTGCATTGGATCGAACAGCAATTCCAACATAGGCTTTCGTTTTTGCGACAACGACGGCATACTGCAGCCTATGCGCGCGAAGACCAACAACAGGGAGCCCACGCATTTTTCTGTAGAGCCTAACACCTATAGCACTGAGAATCTATCCGTTTGGACCCTGCACATGGTTGCCGACTGCCATGGGAAAGTAAAGCTGCAAATGCGTGTAGACGATACGGGGATCGTCACGGTGAATAGCATACACGACCAAAGAGACAAGCTCTATAATCACGCTACCATTAGCACCCTTACGGTGGTTAGCCTCTAGAAGCAAACTGTGTTTGCTGAAATATATGAATCCACATGTAAAGGAAACCCATTACGTTTTCCATTTAGACCAAAGGGAATATGGCGAAAAGAATGAGTGGATTGACATCGGAATGTGGGTTGAAGTCGGTGGCTTGGGATTAATAATATGCACTATTAGCATTAACACGGGTAATGGTGCAAACGTGGGGTTTAGGCTCGTCGACGAGAATAACCACCCATTGCCACCATACAGAAAAAAAGTTAACAATAGAAGCCCGACCCACTTTTCGTCGGAGCCCCCTCCAATAAGTGCCGAAGACTTAACGCCGGTTACTTTTCATATGATAGCCAATTGCCAATATGCCAAGCTGCAAATTCTCGCCCACGATGGTAACGTAAGGATGAATTATATCGGCGGCAGCGGCAGCATTCCTGACAGACCTTGGAGCCATAAGCCCCTCTCTACCATGAGTGTGCTGCCGTTAATGCCGCATTATCAAGGCGGCGCGAATACTATCTTTACTCGTCCACAGTCTCGTGCGGCCGACAGGCCTGACGACGAGGTCAACCCCGCACCTTCTTCATGAGTACCATCGCGATAGCCACCACGAGGATCCAAATGTTATTACCAACGAACTTTAACAACTCGCCGCTGGTTTTCAATATCAAACTCAAGACGCTACCAAGCAGACCGGGAACGCTGGCTGCGAATGTCTTTCCCAGGGTTACGAGGCCCGCAGCTAATTTTTTACCCATTGCCTGTATGCCCCCTGCTACCTTCTCCATGCCTTTCTTTTCTTCCTCCCTTGCTTTTTCCATAGCCTCTTTTTCTTCTTTGCCCATCTTTTCCATTTTTTCTTTCATTTCCTTCGTTCCTTTCTCCATTTTCTCTCCAATTTCCTTCGTTCCTTTCTCCATTTTCTTTCCCATTTCTACCATGTCCTTCCCAAGCGTTTTTGCGCCCGCCGACAGACCGTTAATTGCGTTCATGATTCCCGCAATGGCACCAGACAGTGCTACGGCGAAAGCCAACGGCACGCCATA